CTGGCATGCTTTTGGTGTCGAAATCAGTCGGTGCCCTCAAAACGACATTTCGGCGCATTTTGTTTCCTGTCCAAGTGGAAAATTTTCGCGCGAGGTAACTGACTTAGCCACTGCTGTATGAGGCTCAGATGGTTTGTTTATGATACGAACCAACATTGTTTATATAAGCCACTTGAGATTGGGGAATCACTTAAACACACACGGAGGATACATGTCAGAGTAAGATATATCCATGATAAACTGAAAGATAAGAAAGTCGGTGAAGAAGTACTGAGGTAAGAGGATATGTTGAATTAGGAAGATCTATACGCATTGTGCATCGGTTATGGTGATTAACATGGAAGTGATATTTGCTGGTTGTGGGCTAATGCTTTCTTAACTTGGTTGTGAAACGCATATTTATCATACTTGAAAAATGTCCATGTTTTGAAATGTTTTGTAAAATAAAAAAAACAGCACAAAATATTTCTCAACACGTTCTCCGGGATTTGCCTTCGATCGGATCTGGGTATAAAATTACCTGATCAAGTCTTTAAAGATTCATGGAGGAGAGGGGGGGTGAATACCCTAGGATGGAAATTGCTATTTGGAAATCGTGATACGTTTTGCGGGAATATATTTGATAACCGTAACTGATAGCCAAGAGAATGGAACATCAAAATTGCTTCAGAAGCCTGAAAACAAGCTGTGACACATGAAGTTATTGCCCAATAGAAGTCAGTTATTGTTAGTTACAATGCATTAACTGAATCCAATCAAGTGTTGCCTGATCACATACATGATAAGATAATCAGTGACCGGTGATAATGGATTTGAATGTCAAGTCATTGTGGTCAATGTAATGATAACCGAACCACTTCCACACATTGATTACGGTCGGTATCAAGGTGAGCGTAATTGTTCGCTCGCGTTCGGCGTGCGAATAGGAGTCATCTTCCCCCCATCCATACAGTGTGTGGATCAGTGGCCCGCAGTTCGCCACCAGTCAAATCGGTAATGTACCAAAATTACCACTGTGGATCGGTGCGCAAAAGGGACAATGTCTAACAAGATTAAAATGGTCCTATATCATGTGTTTCGTGTACTCCTTGAATGATCAAGTTCACTGAGCACTATTTCCGTTAAGCACCAAGTGCAACAGTGGTCAAACATACAGAGTGCATATAAGGGACTTGGATTGTGGAAACCACGAAAAGCTGGGTCAAGAACCTTAACTTTCTTGATCCAATTTCCCAAAATTCCATTCTTTCCCTCACCCCCTGGGCATTGATGCACGTTTATAAATAACCTACAAGCAAAGTGCATCAGAACAAGAATTTCCAAACTGGTTAAGGGTGGTAAAATAGCCTAGTCTGATGACATAATTGAACCGAAGTGATTTGATTCGACGATCAAGCGAACTAAATCTGAGAGTTTCGGGCAATGAGTGCGTATTCTTGTCTGTGTGTGCATACCACGCCTCAGGCGTGGATTCATTTTGGCGTAACCGAATCCGGGAATCGTCAAGTGGCTGATTAAATAAACAAACGCAGTCCTGGATAGGATTGCCGTTCCAGTGATACACAGTCGACCAAAACGACCAACGTTAACTGCTTGTCTACAAAAATCTATTTATATTTTCCCCAACACCCAAAGTCGAACTTTGTATTGATTTCTCGGCCAGTGACGGAACCGCGTATGACGAGATGTGACAGATGATGATTGCATAGCAATAGTTGCACGTTTATTTATAGGTGTGCGCAAATAAAACTGGAAGAATGTTTTATAGAGGTAGCAATTAGCCGTGTATTCGCCTTAGGTTCCCGGATTTGGTAGATTAAAGGAAGCGGTTTGCTGGGAATTATAAATATTTTGCCCAAAAGCATGTACCTGACACGAACGATTGAACTTACACACTTTTGAAAAAATAACAGTGTCTGACAGTTGTGTCAAACAGAAAAAAATGTTTCGCTGGTTAATTCCAACACAACAATTTTATAGAGAACTCGACGCTATCCACTCTCGAGTTTGTTCAAATCTGATAGATTTGGGATTTTAATCCTTATACTAAATGAGCGTTTGTTTATATCATCTATCTAGAAGATTGATGTCCATATTTTCTATCTGTACTATAGGAAGCAATAATCAACACAGCATTCAGCTAATAATCATCATTTTGAACGAATACTAAGGCTGAAACGGTTTGGACAGAGTATTGAAAATCGGTTCTCAGCTGAACCGAATTCCGTTTCGCCTGTTCACCGAGCTTTTCAATTTGTTTACAAATACTGCATCGCCAGTCGAGGTGACGTCTGATAAGCCCTGAAGTCAAGCACTCCGACTGGTGATCAAACGTTTGCAAATCAAATTTTGAAGCTCGAAAAAAGGCTTGGAAGCCGTGCTGAGTGTTGTTGGTTCATCTTTGGTTTCTTATCAAAAGTTCCCAACAAGGGATAACATTCCGGTAAGTCATTTGCAATCGGAAAAACGGTTGTCACTGATATGTGATAGACCTCGTACAGGGACCCGACCGAGAAAACCTCGGACTAATGGGAACGAAAACCCGTATGGAGGCATTGCAAGGCTAACGAGTTTGTTTGTGTGCGCGTGTCTGTGTGTCTATGAGTGCGTGTGTGTGTGTGCAATATTGACAATCTTTGGCAGACCAAACGAACCGGGTTTCCAATACTTTTGAGTAGAATTCGTACGTGTTATTCTTCTTCATGCTTGGTTAACAGCACGTATATCATTTATATTTCCTCCAACAATAGAAAATGGTCCTGCAAAATATAACCGGGATTTGTCATTACTATCTACCTGGTTGGGTTGTAACTGATATTTTGATATGAATAGATAGCTATTGCAAACAAATTAAGTCATTCAAATAATCGTAACTGTTTGCAAATACGAGCCATTCTTACAAACACAGAGAAAATGACTTACTCGTTACCGTCGTGCTTGGATATTTTCATTGCTTTTAAGTAGTAAGCTATTGAAAAAACTATTCTGGAGCAAAGAAAAATCAATCATTTATTTCTTTTTCTCGGTATGTTCAGCCATCGAAATGTCTGGTCATCAATACGAAGTTCTAAGCAACAAATCCCACATTTGATGCAAGTAAAAAAGATTGCCTTCTATTATTAATTGAGCTTTTTCTGATATTGTCTTTGAATTTAATAAACCAATTGCTTTTTAATCACACACTGAATGAGAGCAATCATGTACACCCAAAAGCGCGCTTTATCATTTACATCTGATTTTCACGAGTGAAATACTGAAAGCATAAAACCCTGAGCAAAGGACACATGTGTAGTTCACGTGATTCTACATCAAATAGTCATTTTACATTATTTGTCTGTGTTCCCATTGTCACATATTCAATGTGTGTGCACAGCTGATGATCCCTTACGCAAGGGACTGACGTGAAAACCACCAAGGTTTCACTTTTTGGCACACAACAAACACGAGTGTTTCCCAATATGTCCTCATTAAGCAGCGCTAACGAGTTACTCATCAGAGAATGACTCGCCATGAAACATTGTAGATTTATTTCATTTATTTCACGCAAAATATTTTCATACCCAGTAGATACACAAATTATTTTCAATCAGTTGATAAAGGATGCGGCATAGAAGTCGTGTATCAGGGAGAGCACGCAACTGTCCGGTCAGATATGATGCTTTGAAAGTCATTGTCTGGTGTTATGAATGAGTTATGAGCTGATGAGAATCATGTTTGAGTGCCCAAAGTGTTTAGCGTGTAGAATCATCCACTCGGTCATGTTCAAATACCAGTTGATTTGGTAAGTATACAAACATCCCCCCTGTTCATAATTCCTGACAGAGGTGAAGCTGCGCAACCGTGCTTCCAGAACGTTTCGTGGGCCAATACATGATACACCAAGTAAGAGTCAATCTACGCTCCATTCTGTTGTGTGTCCTTATATTCTGTTGATAAGTAAGATATTCATTGTTTATTCCCTTGTATTGGTCATCATATACGCTGAGGATATTGTATTAGACCAACCCATTTCTTCATAATTTAGCTTATGTTCATTCACGAAATATTTTTATGTCTACTTGAAACAACCATAATGAACAATTCTCCATTTTGTGCGAAAACTGTCAATTGTCTCGGAGCCTGTATAGATGACGAGATTCGTCGTTCGAAAAATGCTGACAACGATGTTGATAAATTGCAGCATGCATTATTTCAACTTCCGCCACTTCAACACCTTTGCATTTTGCTATCAATTACTCACTCCGTCTAGCTTGTTCGACTTTATTGCTTACTTCCTATTGTTTGTTTAAACAGGATTCCAAAATATTTTCTTGGTTTTCATTCCAATGTTATTTTATTTTCCGTTAGTGAGTATTTTGGTATTCATCCAGATCTTGATACGAATATTTTCTTGACTTGACAGAAGCAAGTCTTTAGACCCTAACCATCCTTTCCACCCCGAATAAGCATGCAGTTATTTTTAGCTGCATCCACTCACCTCGAATTCTCACCCATTCAATACTACTTAATCGTTCACAGTTCTGCTCTTGGTTTTGTTTTGGAAAGCATCTATTATCTCAAACTGATAGACAAACGGACAGACAGACAGACAGACAGACAGACAGACAGACAGACAGACAGACGGCAAACAGAGAATAAAATGTGAAGTTCGCCTCCCCTTGGAACCGACTACACAGGATATTTTGGACCGAGCAATCCACGTACGATCACGCATTTGATGTGGTATACTCATTGATTAATTCACACATGAAATGTCACCTGCTGTACACGTGAAGGAAATCACTTGATTTCAGTTTTCAGTTTCCGCTTTTTACAATCATCAACCAAACAGTTTCGTGCACCGGTTTTGGTTACTGTCTTTTGGCCGCCCATTTGGATGAAAAAGAAAAACAATCATTAGGTACACATGGTGAAGCACTTTAAACAATACATATTCGAAGTAAATTGATTTCTGAACAGAATGGGGAGTGCGAAGATAAACAAGTGTGATTATCGCTAACCTGCTTCCGGAATCAGAATGCGTTCGGTCACTTCGGGACTGATAATATTTTTCCCGACAGCCGCCACACGGAACTCGTAGCCCACACCGAAAACTGGGCATGGAGACATAAACAGAACAGAGAGGAAGGTGCGGAGAGGGGCAGTGGTGAAAATCATGTGTATGTCGGCTGAAACAATCAATGAAAGATGCAAAATAATTTTCACTGTGACAAAGTGTCTCCCAGTCCAGACATCATGGTGGCCTCAGTTATCGCAATATTCATGAACTGGGACAAGGGTGATGGTTTATATTAGATCTCTAATTGGTCCACAGAACTATTGTTCGCGCATCAAATAATCTAGCGTGCGGACGAAGCAGTTCCTTTGCCAGTTCACATTTCAATAAATCATGACAAATACTGAAATATGAATGATAAATATCGATTTTCTCAATTGGAAAACTATTCCCGCTAATTCCTAGGCCAAATACCCATTGTTTTGCTGTAGTTAGTTCGCATATGTTAGTACCAAACAATATGCAGACCACAACCAATGATAACAGGGTCCTGGCTCCACCTAAGAACAATTTACCATTAATTAAAAAGGTTAGAGAGAAATAAGAATGCATGGTTTGTGTGCGGACTTTCATGAACCACTGAGGTTTTCTTTTCACAATTTATATAAATCTCAACCAGTAATGCACAATGATGACATGTCATTGGTCGCCCATGTCTATCCTACCCAAATATCACGAATACCTAATGTCCATGCGGTTCAGTTTGCTGGGTTTATTTCTCTATAATTATGCTCACGACAAGTAATAAAATTCCACATTTGGAACTTTTTGGGCTAGAGAAAATCGGTCCTATTTGCAGTTGGTTCTTTTTCTCTATGAGTGAATAAATAGCCTTGTCATAGAACTTTAGTGAGTTTCGTTTTTTATGAAACAACGAGACAACGGACATACGCGACAACGCTCATTAAAACGATACACATAATTGTGACGTTCGACTTATTTGAACTCTGCTAGTCAGGCTTCCAACCATGAAGGTGGATTAAGTCGCTAAACAGGCCTGGAGTATACATTTTGTTCAACATTCGTCCAAGAGAATTACTACGGTCGGAGATGAGTGTTTTGGGTTGTGGCTGGTCACCCTACCCTTGCACGTCGAGAAATGCTCCCATAAGACCAGGCGTCTCAAATAGCCTCTGCTGAGGAAGCCCTAATCGCTGCATTCACCTGTCGGAGGTGTTTCCCGCACCAAAGTGAGAGGATGAAAAACCAACATTCTTGGGTATTGTCGGGTTGGTGAATCACAGGCAGTTCACCTGTAGATGTTGGCTAAAACCCTGATTGCCGAACCATACGAACCATACACACACACACACCTTCCTGGTTGTGGCGGTGGTCATCAGCTCAATTGAGCATGAATGTATATTGGGAAGCTTGGACGTCTTGACCTCTTCCAGACGGCGTATGATTCGATGAACTGGAAACCGGCCCCTAATGGATTGCGGTTTTCACGCACACCGCCGCGCGCTGCCTTGCGGGTCAGGCTTTGGTCAACTGAAAGCTCCGGATGAGAATTCCCCAGGAAAGTTTACCTGCGTTGATTTGGGCAACCTGGCAGTATTGTACCCACATGCGATTCATGGAATGTATCAAAATTACTCTACCGTGATTTTCTTGCCACATAGTTTGATCTCAGGAGAGTGTGAAATACAAAATTGTTCAACACGTGTGTCTGGCGCTCAACTAACCGCTGACACGCATTCAATATGACCACGGAGTTTGTCTATGAGTAAACCCATACGTAACTCTTAAGATTACAAACAAATGAAAGACAGTTGAAATAAATTGCCAGTCAGTTTATCAATGAGGGTGTTTTCATAAGAGAATGAATACACGGTGTTCACTGGTGGTCAATCTTTTGAATCCCTGTACCGTTGCACGTAGGCAATTCGTATTCACGGATCGGAAAAATCGCTGATAATTTCATTCTGATCGATTGATAACCAAAATATCTGTGGATCATTTGTAAAATGTAAGAATAATAACACAAAGTCCATCGAGATCCGTGCATCTAGGTTTCACGCAACAAAAACCCACGAGAGCTCCATCTGGTTTGAGTTCATCAGTCAGACAAAATTTGACTCACAGTTACTCGTGAGTAGTATGAGTGGGATAATTGATATTGATCGATTTGACTGACTATCCTTCAGTCTTCACCTTCATGTAAAATCCTCAGTACATCGATTCAACCATACACTCGGAAGCACTAGACTCGATTTTTGCTTTTATTAAAGCTCATCAGTAGTGCATATTCACCGTCCCGTCCAGGATTGGAACTCCGGACCCATCGCATGGAACGTGTATGTTCCAAGTGTATGGTTGAATCGATGAACTGAGGATGGCGCGTGAAGGTGAAGTCCGAAGGATAGTTGGTCAAATCAATCAATGAGATGGAATTGTATCTGACGACCAGTTATCAGATTGGAACCCATTTCATCCAAATAAATTCGGAGCTTCCGGCAAATGCAAATGCGAATTCCATGAGATTAGTCCCGTGACATGCATCAGGAGGTAAACAAGTTTGTCTGCTTCATGCATGGTAGGGTGACCGCCATTTTAAGTGGCTCAGTTAATCAGAACATCAAATTGGAGTTGATGAGTTCGAACCTCGTTGCTGTTTTCCAATTTATCTACCCGTGTTCTAACTAAGACAACTAGTAATGTATCTGTTCGATCATAGACAATTAGTCATATTTTATGATTAATTTAAATAATGAACGATGAAATACAAATTACAAATTTCAAAATTATAAATTGGGAACTTCTAATAAATCTAACTATCTAACAATATATCTAATAATATTTCATCAACCGTGATTGCACTTATGTAACATCTTAGCTTTAATTACGAAACATTCAGTGTTGAAGAAAGAAGTCTATGAAACATGTGTTCCAATTTGACCACCTCAATCTGTTTGGTCATACTTTGGATTATAAATTGCTACGCACATGAATATAACACATGTTAAAGATATGCCGAAGTGGGTTCCGCAATGTATTCAAAATGTTTTGGTTCAACTGTGAATTTGCTCTGAGAATGGACAATGAATCGTGGGAACATAAGAGGGGTTAATTCTAGTTTACGGTTGCTCATAATTAATGGTATAGGATAGGTCATAGACAGACAATCCTCAGTTTATCTCGTAAAATTTACACGTGGAAAGCTCCGGACATTCGTTTAATTAAAATAAATGTCCATAAGTGATGCGTTTCTTTTATTTCACTCAAAAATGAATCCTCAGACCCCTGATAGGGAAAATGGGTGTGAGTGGATTTCATCCCAGTGGCTGCCCAAAATTATCAGTCTTCGTTAGTTGAAGCGTCACCGTTTTGATCATCTCAGTTTGGATAGTCAGGGTAGATGAAGGTTTCGATATCACTACCCGCAGATTATCTGTGACGAAAGAAGCTTTTGATGGCTTTTTGTTAGGCTCCCGAGGGAGTACGCCTGAGGGTGACTTTGTTCCTCCAGAACATCTACGGATATTTGTGAGTTGCAGTGCGATGTTGAACAACTCGCGAAATTTTTCTTTCTGCTTTGAATAAACACATACATTGGTCTCAGTCTTTGGAATAAAAAACCTGTGTCATGGTTGACGGGTGAATGAGAGGAAACCATTACAAGTGAGTCGTTAGTTTCGTGTTAGCCCGTTTTGGGCATAGTGGAACCCGATTAAAATAAGGAATTAACAAATCAAGTGAAACTGTACCGAAGTAATTTGAAAAGGTAGCCTGAGTTATGGATTTAACTTTCTGATAAAGTAAACAAACATTCCCAGAACTAATTTAGTAACTGTTCTGCTTTTTATCGGAAAGTTTATATTTTATTAAGAAACATAATGGAATAACTGATTGATTCGGGAACTTGAAAATTTTACCCAAGTAGTTCTGTAAATTTTCCTTTTCGTAAGTAGTCCACCTACAATTTTGGATTGAGTTAAAACGAAAGGCTGTTGATAGAATACTTTTTCAGGGTAAGAATCTCACATCAAACCCTGTTGGCAATAGCTCAAAGCACTGAACCACCGTGTTTTGGTGCATTTGACAGTCCGGGGACAAATAATCTTTGTTTAGTTCCTGTCATCCGTAATCTGACAAGCGACAAATGCGTATCATCAAATGCACGACGTGAAGTCCTCGAGATTAGTTTACCAACCGGTTCAATCACTCCTTCTTTCTCCTTTTCCTTTTTCCAAAGAAACCGGCTCCAGAAAATAAGAATTGACAACCATCCAGTTATATGAATAGGTATGACTGAACTCCGGCTAGCATCTTCCTCGCGGATCGAACTGATTAATCAAATGTGTCGACATTGATTACTCATATACGTCAACTATGCATATGGTTACAGTAGCTTTCCATTATTCCCTTCTCAACTGTTTTCGTCATCACACGCTCACTTTTGACGCCCCTGTTCCCACAACAATAATTCAGTTTTACTACGGAATTTCAATTTTTCTCCTGAGCACCGCAACGCTCTGTCGAACCAAGAGTGACACATGTTTGCTACCCCCACAAAAGTCACAATATTTTATCCTGATCCTCATAGCTGATCAAATATATGCGAATCAAGTCTTACTAATTGACAAAGTATGTTTATACCCTAATCATAAATTTTTAAAAATTCTTAGCCATATTTAATCGTTGAGAAGTTTTGCCCAAAACTCGGGCAACTCTTGTTTGTTTGCATGTTCATCAATCAGAACCTCCTGGAATTCAAAATACATGATGCAGTTCTCCTCCGTTGACAACAAACGCAAACTCAACTCCTTTTTCACTGCTAAACTTGAAAACTATCCGTTTCACAGACCAAATTGCGCAACGACACAAGCCAATCAGCGGCATTTCGAGGGAGAAGCCACGTCATAAGTCGTAAAGTTGATCTACATTCTGAGCATCGTGAATAATTCGCCTTCTTCTGATCATGTCAAAAAAGCACTCAACAATGGCAAGCATGGAATGGTATTCCATCCTGCGGTGAACGGTTTATTTGTGGTTTGAATTCGGAACCGATAGTTGTTATGCAACGTTTCATCTGGTCACTAGCTCACGCCAGAAACGCGACATTAACTCATCACACGTTTTGTGTCTTAGAGACGTGACTAGCTCATTCAAGTCAGGTCAGCAAAAAATAAATTCAACCCAAATGAACGGAGAATTCTTCGATAGGTTATAGATAGCTCAATTAGGATATCAGGCTGCCGAGGACGAACGAACGCACTTAAAATACCCTCTCCGTCATTGATGAGCCACCGAGGATGGAAACGTAATTGAAAACTCATCGGTCTGTGTTGAAAATGCTTTACTTCATCCCATATATAGGTCTCCGTGAATCTTGTGGGAAAGAACGGTGAACTATTTACTTTGAAATTTTGCACTTTTGATAAAAACATTTGATTTTTGTAGTAAATACTTGTCAAATTATGCATGATTATGGAAGAACTGATCAGTTTTGTAAATCCAGTTACATCAAGGAACTTCATAGGAGTGAGAATAAGCAATATCACAGAATTGGTTAACTTCCACTGTTTCCTGTTATCTCTATAACTGTGTACACTTATTCATGTGGGATTACAACCAAAACATGGTTTGGACAGAAGAGAGAGGTGGTATAATTTGGCTATTATTCGTACCATTATGGAATAACAAATTCCTACATTTCATGAGGTTTGATCAATCGTTTGCGTATTATGTAACCTCGTATAGGACTAGTTGTCATCAGCCCTCTGCTAAGCATTTTGTTACCGGTAAAAATTCCCTAGCATTAGCTTTACTGTTCAAGTTTTCGGTTCTTTCCTTTTCTTTTTTCATTTTACTTGCTTTTATTGAATTTACAAAGGTACAATTTTCAAGAAGGGGGAAGCGGCCAATCAGAGGGCTGCCATACAACACACAAATGGGGAAAGTCAGGCGGTGGTGGTGGGATTCGAATACTCGTCCTCCAGGGTGATAAATGGCGACGTTACCACCAACTTCGTTCTTACAAATCATATTTCAGTCCGATTTAACCTTACAAAGAAACCTGACCACTAATTCGAAAGCGCATCTTGGTATCTACATTTTGGAGAGCCATTTTGTTTGTTCTAAACTCGCTTGCTTGAATCGCATGCTTTGGAAAATGATGCTCGTTTATCTGGGTATTACAATCATATAGAATCGGTGTAAAACATGAAATACTGAACTTTTCTTCACCGACCGACTTGTCATATAAAATCAATCACTGGGTTCAGTCATCTAAACCAGATCTTTTTGAACATAGATGTAGTAAAACACTTACGATGTTCCCCGGCTGTAGTGGTAAATTGTAATCGAGTGATATTTTTTTCAACCATACGCAAAAATGGCAAATCCTTTTGTGGCCATTCTTGTGAGCTCTGGTGAATGGGATCGATCGCGGCCACGATCAAGTAGCGAACACGATACGCAACCAATTGGTTCCAGACGTTCTGTTTTTCTGCCGGCTGTCCTGGATGTTCCGGGCTTCCAAGCAAAGGTGGTAACCATGTGGCTGTGATACAGGGACGGGCAGGTTCACAAGCAATAACCAAAGACAGTTGCCTCGGTGGTCCGAGTAAGCCGGCTGGCCCCTCAGTGGACACGGGTTGGACGGGTGGAACTTTTCCGATTGTCACAACAATACTATCGCTGGCGAATAGGACACAGATTAGGATCCAGTTCATGACCAGGCGAAATATGAATGGTTTATTTCATTGATGTGCACATCCCGGGAAAGAACATGAATATGATCATCAGAAACAAATAAATTCCGATGCAAAAGATGGCTGCATTACTGTAAACAATTAGAAAAGATGTAATTCCAACAGAATGAAGTGAGAATGAGATCGGCAAGGCACAGGAATTTCTTTCTCAATCATGGTCTGAAGATATTTCGACTCTAATCCTCGTCAGACGGGGAGTCAAGCGTTCACACATTCATGCACGCCTACAAAGATGATCAGGAGGGAGCACAGAATCATCTGATGGGTCAATTGCGGTACTTGGGCACAGTACGCACCCGGACGAAGGGAAGCTTTGGTGACAAATGGTCAGATTGTCACGAAATTCTACTACGTTACCCATGCACTACACACACACGCAGGTGTGCCTGTGTACTTATGCATTTATATTTATAAATACAGTCGCATGCATTTTAGCGAGTACATGTACACACACACACACACACAAGTACCCACATGTTTTGCACAAGTCAGAATACAGACGATTCAGTGGGATCCGATGAACAGTGATGTGCTGTGTGTGTGTGTGCACAAGAGAAACAGATAGCACCAGCTCGGGGTGGTACCAACTGTCGTATTTGCTTGCGCGTGTGCATGCTTGTGCGCGCGAGTGCGTCCTTGCATGCTTTGTGCAGATTGGCTCGTCACCCGTGATTAAGTGGTTTATCACATACAAGTGAGAAGCATCGTGTTACTTACCGACACTGTTCACACATAAGTGACATGCAGCACAACTAGTCGGATGGTGATGGAACGGCTTTAGTAATGATAGATAGATAGATGGATAGATAGATAGATAGATAGATAGATAGATAGATAGATAGATAGATAGATAGCCAAACACACAGATAGATAGATTTGGGATCAGACAGAAGTGACTGATTGGCCCCAGCAAAATTCACTCATTCACAGTTCTTGGAGGGAGAGGGAGACGCATTTGCTGCGGAAACAGACGATCCCCTTTCTAGTGCATTAAAATCTATCGGAG